ATCCTCTAGTTCGTCACTTCCTGTTGGAGCTAATAGTTGTGGATATCTACGTGTCGGAGCTTCGTGGTGAGTCTTAATACTGCTTGAGTTACAAGACGGATCGTCTGTTGATTGTCGCATTAGATAGTAATCGTAGGACTTAGTAGCTTAACCTTAAGTTCACTAATTAATCGTGAGGTAAAGATCGCTTCTTTAGCTACTTGTAAGAGTGCTAAGAGCTCTGCTTTAGTTGTTAAAGTAGTGACGGTATCTTGCTTGCTAGATCGCCAGGCGATTAGCCCGCCAAAGAGTTTAATCGCGTAGCCCTAAGAGCTTTTGCGATCTAGAGTGTTGTCTGCAAATAATGCGTCACTAGCTACCTGCATAGCGGTGCCGCCACCTAATCGTAATGTTAGCCACTTAGTGTCGGATAGGTAGAGTAACACTCGATCCGCAGCCTGTTAGTGTTCCTAACTTAGGTTAGCGAGAAATCTAGCTAGTCTAGACGTCGCAAAAGCAATATCTGGGCGTGTATTAACAGCGGCGTAGAGGAGAGAGCCAATCTTCCGCTGGTATCGATTAATCTTAGACGGGGTAGCTAGTCCTTCTCTGGGCATAAGCTCGCTAGTCGCCATAGGAGTATCGTGGCAGATTGTCTAATCGTCTACTAGTCTATTAATCTTTTTATAGTAGGCAACCTAGGAGAGGTAGATTAGTTGTTTAGATCGATTCCTAATCACCTCAATCCTAAGGAACTACTATAGATCGTCTCTACTAGTAATAGAGTATCGCTGCTTAAGCTAATCTATTGCTTCTTAAGCCTTCTTAGATTAATCCTTGCTATAGGCTAGGATAATATCGTCTACGTAGTAGAAGATAATAATTCCGTCTTTAATTATACAGCAGGGCTCGTGGGGTACAATCTAGAACCTAAGTTAAGTAAGCGTCGCTGTAAGATCCTTCTACTAAAGGAGTAGGGATATTCTTAGCCTATAAAGAGCTTTCTTGATCCGTAGGATAGTGCTAGGCTTCTAATAACTTTTTAGCATCCGCATGTAGACCTCTCGATCTAACGATGCGTAGACGAAGGCGTTAGTAACGTCGTACTATTTTAGTTTAAAATTGTGTTTAGCAGCGATTGCCATAAGTAGTCGAAATAATCGGCTAGCTAGAGTAGCGGCGTAGGTGTCTTAGGAGGTAATATTACGCTGCTAATCACCTTGTATAACTAATCGAGCTTTGCACTTAATAAATTAATTAGCTTTGTTAAATTTGTAGACATACACCTACATACAGTCTAGAATCTAGTGTCCTTTAGATTTAGCTGCTTAGTAGGGTACTTCTTCCTACGAATTAGTGACTTTGTGGCTGTCGAGATGTGCACGTTGTGCTTCCTTAAATAGCTCTCCTAAAGGGTGCTAATTAAGATTAGTCCTGGCTGTTAGTGGATCAGGAAGTTATAATTAATAGATCTTAACTCCTTTAGCGAGTAGCTAGTGAAGTTGTGCCTTGTCAATTAGGCCTCTATTGTAAGTGCCTATAGTCCCTACCTTTAATCTAGCTATAAACGCTGCGGCCTATAGAACTGTTTTTGTGAGGGACGTCAATAGTTGAGATGACCGTATCTGTATTAAGTACTAAGTGAGATATTGCGTGCAGGTTCGAAGACCTGCGCGGGTCGAACTTTGGTGTTCGGCTGTGGCCTTCGCTTAAGGCGCACGGGCCACCTCGCTTACTAGAGGTCGCGGGTTTGATCCATGACAATTATAGCTGCCTTGCGTAGCGATCCTGCTAGAGGGCTGTAGGCTGTGTTGGCGAGGCTCTAGAGATAGTTCGCTACTTTCCTAGCTTGCGCCGCCCTTTCTGCGACGTGCTTCTTAAAAGTTAGTCTCCTATTAAACTACACCCTAAGCTAGCGCAGCGCTGTCTAGCTTCCCCCCTACGTTGGGGCTATAGGGTGAATTATTTAATCTTCTAGTTGGATTAGCGGTGCATGTAGTCCTTTCTAACACGTAAGGTAGATTAGCTCCTATTTCTCTAGTGCAAACGTGATCTTATTCGCAGCTCCCTATTCGTTAATAGATTTAAGGTCCTCTACTAGCAGTGCGACGTTCTCGTCTAAAGAGTAGAAGACCTAGTATAGGTTAATGTTGTCGGTATACCCAAACTAGAGTTTTCGGTCCTAGTTGAGTAGTTTAGCTAGGTATAGGGTGTATAGGACTAGTAATAGCGGCGATCCCTGCGGGGTGCCGCAGGCTACTCGATGTGTAGGTGTAGTAACATTGCCTAGGCGTACTCGCACCCTCCTTTCCGACAGGAAGTTCTAGATAAATTTCTAGAGTAGGGGTAGCCGCCCTTATTGCCGCATTTAGTGTAGTAGCCTGTTTTTTAGTAGCGCGTTAAACGCCCCTTAGACGTCTAACGTAAGCATAGAGATATACTCGTGTCTTAACTAAGCCGTCTCTACGTCGTGTTTAAATGCGGTCGCTAGGTCTATCGCAGAGCGTTTTAGCAGCGCTCCACCGTGCTATAGGCTTAGGATGTTAAAAGCTATAGCTATGTGCGCTATGCGCCTTGCTATAATACACTTAAGTCCCTTCCCTAGACAGGACGATAGGGCAATTAGTCTCACTAATCTAGGTGAGGACTTATCCTTCTTCCCGACTTTAGGTATCATGGCTACTTCTACCGTCCTCTAGGCGGCTAGGTAGTAGCCTTGTTCTATGCACGCCTAGTAGATGCCTAGCACTAGGTGTCTAATGTGTTCCCAGCATACCTTTAGGAGTCGGACGGTTACCTAATCGGGTCCTAGGGAGGTGCTAGATACTCTAATCACGTAGCGTTCCGTCTCCTCTATCGATATGTATGTGTCCTATAGTAGTGGCGTGGTTTGCGGGTTGTTGTTAAGAGGCGGTAGTTCTAGGAGGTCGTCCTCCGCCGAAAAATAGTTGAGGATTGCCTCTCTAAGTGCCTCAGCTTTCTCGAGTAGTGCTGTGATTGTTCTACCTTTAATTATAAGCGGGGTATCCCGTTAGTCGAATAATAGTTTATGCTAGCCTACTAGCTTGTATAGATCTTTGTCGTTATTACAGCCATCTATGCGCTGCTGCTAGTACGTTCTCTTAGCTTTTCGTACTGTAGCTAGGAACGCACGGGTGGCTTCTAAGGGGGATTGGCTATAGTCCGACTTTTCCTAGATATACCGCTTATACGCCACTCTACAGTCCTCTGTCCACCATAGGGCGGAGTGGCCTTTTTCTCTATTTGGTGTTCCCGCCGCGTGCATTGCATCTCCTATAGCTTGGGTGATTCTAGCTATGCTTGCGTCGATTACGTCCGCTGGGGCGCTATTGCTATCTATCTATCGTGTTGATGTTGTTGATGTTGATTATGGTTTAACGCCCTATCTGTAACCTCCCATAGGGTATTCGGGCGGGTCCCGCCGTGGTCTTATAGTGCTGTCGCACTTGCCTCGTGGAACCTATTCCTAGGTGTTTTGTATCTAAGGGGAGTGATGTCCTGCCTATATACATGTTCGTGAAAAGGACTCCCGCCATTTGAAGCCGTTTTCCTACAATA